GTTGAGACAATCATGTGATTTTTTTCTTCGTTTTCTCCTCATCGTCACTGGCATTTGTTAGGCTTTTTCTTTTCTTTTTTTTTTTTTTTGAGACGGAGTCTTGCTCTGTCACCCAGGCTGGAGTGCAGTGGTGCTACCTTGACTCACTGCAAGCTCCGCCTCCTGGGTTCACGCCATTCTCCTGCCTCAGCCTCCTGAGTAGCTGGGACTACAGGAGCCTGCCACCATGCCCAGCTAATTTTTTTTATATTTTTAGTAGAGACGGTGTTTCATCATGTTAGCCAGGATGGTCTCGATCTCCTGATCTTGTGATCTGCCCACCTCGGCCTCCCAAAGTTCTGGCATTACAGGCGTGAGCCACTGCACCTGGCCTTGTTATGTTTTGATGATAGCCATTCCAGCAGTGGTGAGATGATATCTCATTTGGGTTTTAACTTGCATTTCCCTGATTATTAATAGTCACCTTAAACACATACCTGTTTGCCATTTGTGTGTCTTCTTTAGAGAAAAGTCTATTCAGGTCCTTTGCCCATTTTAAAATGATTTTTTAATGTTAATGAGTTGTTTTAGAGCCTTGTTTTCTTTTCTTACACTGGATATTATGCCTTTTCAGATGAACAGGATTATTAGAACCTGTTCACATAAATACCCTCTCCCATTCTAAGGGCTGTCTTCAATCTGTCATTTGCTTTGCAGAAGCATTTTAGTTGAATAAACTCCCATTTGTCTATTTTTGTTTTTGTTGTCGGTTCTTTTGAAGTCTTAGTCATAAAACTTTTGTGTAGCCCAAAGTCCTGAAGAATTTTATCTATGTTCCCTTCTAGTTGTTTTATAGCTTCAGGTCTTATACTTAGGTTTGTAATCCTTGCTGGGCTGATTTTTTATTTGGAGAGAGATGGGTTCTACTTTCATTGTTCTGCATGTGGATGTCCACTTTTTCTCAGCACTGCCTATTGGAAATGGTGTCCTTTCTCCAACGTATGTTCTTGATATCTTTGTTGAAAATCAATTGGTTGTCGATACATGGTTATGTTTCTGGGTTCTCTGTTCTATTATTCTGAGTGTCTTATTTTATGGCATTACTATGCTGTTTTTGGTTACTGTAGCTTGTAGTATATTTTGAATCAGGTGGTGTGATGTCTTAAGCTTTGTTGTTTTTGTCTATACAGGGTATTTTGTGGTTCCATACAAATTTTAGACTTTTTTTTTTTTCTATTTTTGTGAAGAAAGTCATTAGTATGTTTTTAGGGATTGCATTGAGTTCTGTAGAATGCTTTGGGTTGTAGTTTGTTTTTCTTAGTACTCTATAAATAGAGCTCTACTGCCTCCTGCTTGCATTGCTCCTAATAAGAAATCTACTTTTATCATTATGTTGTTCACTGAATCTAACACGTATTTTCTCTCTGGCTACTTTGAAGAGCATTTCTTTATCATATTTTTTTTTCCAATTTGATGATGTTGAGTGTTGTTTTCTTTATGTGTGTGTGTTTTTTTCTGTGTGTGTGTGTGTGTGTGTGTGTGTGTGGGATCTGCTCAGGTTTTTGGAACAGTGCGTTTATGATTTTAACAAAACTTAGAACACTTTGGTTATGATTTACATTGTTTTTCTATCCTTTCTCTTCCCCCAACAATCTTGTCTCCTTTTATGCCTCTAATTATAGTATCATGGCAATTTGATGAAGTCCAATATTCACACATACTCTATTTACCTTTTTTATCTTTTCTTTTTTGTGTGTGCTTTTTTGGGGGGATGGCTTCCATTGCTACATTATTAAGTTTACTCATCTACTCTTTCACAGCATCTAATCTGTAATCAAGCTCATTAAGTATATTTTTTGTCAGAGACATTTTAGGGATCATTTCTAAAAGTTTAACTTGGGTCTTTATGTCTTCTTTGTCTCTACTTAACCTGGTAAATCCATCCTCTACCCTCATGAAGAAGTAGAACATAGTTATAAGAATTTCTGTTGCTGGATGTGGTGGCTCTTGCCTGTAATCCCAGCACTTTGGGAGGCCGAGGTGGGCAGATGACTTGAGGCCAGGAGTTCAAGAGCAGCCTGGCCAACATGGTGAAATCCTGTCTCTACTAGAAATACAAAAATTAGCTGGGCATGGTGGTGGGTGCCTGCTCAGGAGGCTGAGGCAGGAGAATTGCTTGAACCTGGGAGGCAGAGGTTGCAGGGAGCCGAGATCATGCCCTTGCACTCCAGTCTGGGCAACAAGAGTAAAACTCGGTCTCAAAAAAAAAAAAGTTTTTGTTGTGTGTTCCTGCCTACAAAGTTTATTGTCTGTGAAATTTCAAGGTCACTTTGGATTGATTAATTTTTCTGTTTCTTATAGCGTATATTTTCTTGTTTCCTTGTAGGAAATGTTGATTGAATGCAGACTGTGTGAGTTTTTCCTTGTTGGATTCAGAATATTCTTACATTTCTTTCTCTGTTTTAGTATTTTATTTTTGGATTCAGTAAAAGTATTGAAACTGTTTGAACCTTTGTTGTGGGATCAGGAGGACCAGAGAGAGACCTTGGGGTGTATACAGGAGGATATCTTTATTGAGTGCACTCAGACTACCCAGCAGACTTAACATCCAAAGACTGAGCCCAGAACAAAGACAGCAGTTGACTCTTATACACACTTTAAAAAGGGGTGGGCTAGGTTGAAGAAGGCTTACAGTGGTGTCAAAGCAGGGACACAGAGGCAGGACAAAAACAGCTAATCAAATTGGAACAGGTTCATAACTCAGGATCACACATGACCATTGCTATGCAACCCAGATGCCCATTATCTAGGTTTGCCTAGTGCCTCGCATGGCTTATTCCATGGCCTTCACTATGGTGCCCAGGTGGCCTGCTCAGACGGCTTATGACCCTCACTTCCCTGCTTAGATAAAACAGAATACTTGGAGTCACCAGTTACACAGAACAGGAATTTAGAAACTCATACCATAAAACAAAGGAAAATGTGTTTTTCTTCTTCTTATGTTGAAGGGGTGCTGGGAGAGTCTCCAGAGCACATTCCTTTGTGTTCCAGCTTCTTAGATAGTATTATCAAGACTTTCCCTGGGTCTGGGCTCTGCCCATTGCTGCCTTTGTGACACGTCAGCCTAATACAGGAAAGCGTATTTCTTTCTCTTTTTAATTTTATTTTTCTTCATTTCTTTAATTTCCTGCCTCACCTTCTTCACCTTACATCTACATTTTCTTAGTAGAGACCAGAGCAGCCTTATGTGTAGGCTGATATTTTCCCAAGTTCCAAGGCAAAGCTCTTCTGAGGACTCAACCTCATGCCCTAATACAAATGACTCTTAATACTTAGAATGTTAAGAGAATGCATGTTTGTGATCTTGTCACTTTGCTGCATCTAGAATTCAGAAGCCAGTTAGTTTTGTGGTTCTCGGCTCCTCATGAAGTTGCAGCCAAGATGTCCAGCTGGGCTGAATTCAGAGGCCAGAGCAGGCAGCCAGGTTTATCCTAAGGGCATTACCACGGTTTCTACTCTCTTTACAGATGTAGATGAGCTCTGGGGAAAAGGAAACAGTGAGGTGTAAGGTCCCCAGTCTTCATCCTCCATGCAAGCACCATTTCTTACTCTTTCCAAGGCCTTGGATTTTAAGGGACAATAATTTTGTATTTCAAAGAAAATTAAATCTTTGAGAAAACTACCATCCGAAAAAGAATCCTAACATGTTTTGCTGCTGCTTGGGCTGCAGTGAGGACAGATTCAGCAAATGCTTCTGGTTTCTCTGTCTGGTCCCCTTTGTGGGCACACACATCCTGGAGAGTTTAAATGAGGCTGGCGGCTCCTTCAACATCAGTGGGGCCTTGGGTTTGCTCCTGGTGCTAATAGAACATGGAACAGAAAAGCAGGTGACACCTCCTGAGGACCAGGGGTTTGCTTCTACCTGGAAGTGCCTGGACTCCTGGAGAGTTCCCAGGGGCCTCTCCACAGGATCCAAAGGAAAGGATGGAGGCTCCTGGCTCCACAATCATCCCCTATGGGATCGAAGGCATGTCACAGTACTCACTATGAAAGGCTTCCCTGTTCAGAACATGAGGATGCCATGGAGCTGAGGTGTGAGGGTCTCAGTTAAACATGGGCAGTTCAGAGAAATAATCCAGGGCATTTGGGCCACAGAGTAGAGGCACTGCCTTAGGTTCAGTGACAGTACAACAGGAAATTCAGGGACCACGACCACTCAATGGCTGTCTCTTGCTACTGTCCTTCTGGCCAGTCATCTTGAGCCAAGACACATCCAGTGCAAACAATACCAGGACAGCCTGGTCCCACCAGCCCAAAATTCCCTCCTAACCCCCATGCTTTGCAGAACCTGCTTGGAGGGTTGGAGAAAAGGGCAACTTGGAGGGCTCAGATCCATTCATACTTCATCAGCCCTGCTCATGGCTGTGTCCACAGTCCTGCTGGGCCTGGAGGAAGAGGGTGACACAGACAGTGAAGGTGTATTTGTCTAAATTCCTCATCTGCCTGTGTCACTGTGGGATGAGTGATGCCACTGTGGGATGAGTACCACTGCTGTCTGGTGATAGAAAGTAATAGTCGGCTTCATCTTCAACCTGAGTCCCAGTGATGGTCAGGATGGCCTTCTTCTCTGATTGGGAGCCAGAGAATTTGTCTGGGATCCCTGAGGGACAGTTGTTACCACAGATGACCCCTACTAGGGCTCAGCCTGGCTTCTGCTGGCACCAGTTTGTGTAGTAGTTTTCTATGCCATCTCCCTGGCAGGTGATCCTGGCCATCTGTAACAAGGCCACAGACACCGCAGACTCCTGAGCCAGCTCGGAGGAAACCACGGAGCCTGCAAGAGAGGACAGGAGAGGTGACTCTTAGGATGAGAATCTTACTCCCACAGCCCCACACCCTGCATCACCCCCTGTGCTGAGCTGAATGTCAGGGTCAGGCTGATTATTGGTCCTGTGGGGGCTGAGCTCTGGGAGGCAGCACCTGTGCAGAGAGTGAGGAGGGTGAGCAGGGGAGGGGTCCAGGCCATGGTGGAAATGCCCCAGAGCTCTGCCTCTCTGAGTCCACAGCTGCGGAGGGACCCCCAGGTCTCTTTTATTGTAGGAAGGGGAGGCTCTTTATGCAAATCTACTTTCTATATTCTTGTGTCTTTGTTAGATGAACAAAGCCTGGTGAACAGGGGATGCAAATCTGTTCTCTATTTCCTAAAGCATTTGCCCCAGTTCTTGTCTGAGCCCTGAGCCTGAGGGCCTTCTCTGGGTAATTTCTCAAGATCAGAAAGGCCAGGTGAATTTCAGGATTTTACCCAATAGAAGGGGCTTCAGAGGAAGCCACAGTTACACCCTTTGCACTTGAGCACCATCAGGGAACTGGGACTAATTATGGTCCTCAGACCAAGGTTCACAGTAGCCCTGGTGCCCATAAAATGCCATTTTCCGTAAATCACCAGATCACTCAGAATGACTATATATAAGCCCTTAACATATGCCAGATGCATTGGTGATTGTTTTACAAGCGGGACCTCAAGAAGGCTTTCATAATGTGGAATAGGATGATGCAAAGCCCTATGCTTAAGGCCCGGTCTTTACTAGAAAACTAGTATTGGGAGGTTACATGTTTTCCCCAAACAGATCTTTGAGGAATCCTGCAGATGCCAAAGACCTGCGGGCCTAAGAGCAGACACTTATTTTCTCACAGTTCGGAAGCTGGGGAGTCAAGATAAAGGTGTTGGTGGGTTTAGTTTCCCCTGAGGCCTCTCTCCTTGGCTTGCAGGTCGCTGCCTCCTTGCTGTGTCCTCACATGCTCTTTCCTCTGCCTGCTCATCTCTGGTGTTTCATTTCTGTGTATGTAAATTTTTATTAGCCTGGGTTAATAATTTTTATATCAGCCTGGCAGATTCTGTCACTGATCCAAGGACAGCCCTGTGGTCAGAGCTGTGACCTGAGGCAGGTAAGAATCCCCTTTCCTCTGAAGAGTGTTTCCTCAAGGAGTCTGGGGATGCCCCATCTAGGGACCAGGGCCCCGAATGCCCCTCCCCACCCACTCGAGACTCCCCGAGCACAGGTGCTGCCCCCGTGTCAGAGTCCACCTCGAGCTGGAAGGAGAGGCAGAGGGAAGAGGGTTCAGGAGGTGTCTTTGGAAGTGCCCAGGACAGAGGGCTCAGCTCCCCAAGATGTTGCTGGACAGGGAGGGGCGAGGCCCTGAGAATGGGAGGAGGCTCAGGCTGCCCATCCTGACTGAAGGACTTGGGCCCTGGGAACCCCGTCCCCTCACACTCTGCTCCCTCCTAGAGCTCCTTGACCTCAGGGTATCTCCCAGGAAATCCCAGCCCTGCAGGAGCTGCCCAGACTGACACCAGGGCCAGGCACCTCCGGCTGTGTATCCCAGGTGAGGCTCTCACTGTGCCTGGACTCCTGTCAGTGTCCTGGGTGACTCTGTGAATCTGACTGTCAGAAAGTGGTCGGCATGGGGGATGGGCTGTCCTGACTTCCAGTCCTACAACTGACCCTGGGACACTTGACTCCCACTGGCTGCAGCTCTGCCACCACCTGCTGGAGGAGGAGACTCAGCCCAGGAACTTTCCTACTCCAGGTGACCTCACAGTACTTTTCACCTAAGAGGTTTCAGACCAGAGTCCAGCCTCACTCTCTGCCAGTGTGACCCACCCTGCCCTGCCTAGCCCACCATAGAAAGGTTGAAAATGTGGTGCCCGAGAAGGTGGGGCAGGTGCAATTTCTGTAACCCAGTCAGAACCATACAGGGTCCCAGAATGTCTATGTATTTACAAGCAAGATTGATGCTCCCTCCACCTATTAAGAGCAGCTACAATTCACTGGAAACACCTGGTGTTTTTGGACATTAAAGCTCAGTTGTGCTGTGACATCATCACCATCACCATTGTCATCATCATCACTGTCATTACCATCATTATTTTAATTATTCTTATTATCACCTCTATTGTGATTATTTGATTTCATCACAAATGTTTGGTGCTTGTGGTGGGAGGATTTCTATATGAGCATAGGCTAGAGATTTGAAACAAGGAATCTGCTGTTTGTTCTGACCAGGGAAACCCTTTCCTTCCATTGCAGAAAACATGCTGTGTGCTGAGCTCTTTCCTGGATTCCCTGAGAGGAAGAACAAGACTCCAAAAACTGTGCTACCCATTCAGACCTCTGCAGAGTTTCTCTCTAATTAATGAGAACCTGTTTTTGGTCATTTTTATCATTTAATGAGGAAGAAAATTCTTAAAGTCAGTATAAGGCTTCCCATTTCACAGCAGGTAAAGTTGAGCCCATAGAGATTACATTGCCCAAGACAACAAAGAAAAGCCGTGGCATGTCCAGGTTGAGTGCAGGTGTCCTGAATTCAGATACTGGGCTCTGTGGCGCAGAGACTGACCAGGGTAGGGGAGAAAGAATGTGAGTGCTAGGGGGGTGGCAGGGCTATGTCCCTTGGCTCACTGCCATCCGCCATGATGGCCTGGCTGTGTGAGGAGCCCACCTCGGCTTGAAGGTGGTGGGGTCACTGGGGCTGTACTCCAGGTTAGAGCTGGAGAATCTGTGGGGATTGGTCGCTGTTTCGGATGCAGGGCCTGGCTGGGCTCCTGCTGTCTTTTTCTGCATTGTTGCCTGTTCCACTCTCTCCTGAGCAGGTGGGGGAAGGTATCTCATGGCCAACTCTACTGGACACAGCTGAGCCTTTAGGAGACCACAGAGCCTGCAGAATCAGGAGACTGTGGGGCTCATTCTCAGGGTTCCATCCACTGAAAAATATCCTGGGCTGAACTCAGGGTCTGGGTCAGGCTCAGGTTTCTGTGGGAGCTGAGCCTGGGTTCAGGTCCTAGGTGGCACCTGTGCAAAGAGTGAGGAGGGGGAGCAGGAGAGGGGCCTGAGTCATGGGGAGATGCCCGGAGCTCTGCCTCCTGAGCCCACAGTTGGGCAGGGTTCTCCCAACCTCTATCATCCTCTCAGGATGAATGAGGCTCTGGGGTCAGTCAGCTACACTGAGCAGGTGTTCTGGATGGTTCCAGAGTAGCCCAAATGAGCCTGCTCTACAAGGAAATGGAGATGGAAGAGTGGCTCCCTCTCCCTCCAGCCGGAAAGTGTCCCTTCAGAAAGAGGCACTGGGTGCAGTGGCTCATGCCTATAATCTCAGCACTTTGGGAGGCCGAGGTGGGAGGATCACCTGAGGTCAGGAGTTTGAGACCAGCCAGGCCAACATGGTGAAACCTTGTCTCTACTAAAAATACAAAAATTAGCTGGGCGTGGTGGTGGGTACCTGTAATCCCAGTTATTCAGGAGGGTGAGGCAGGAGAATTGCTTGAACCCAGGAGGTAGAGGTTATAGTGAGCCAAGATCGTGCCACTACACCCCAGCCTAGGTGACAGAGCAAGACTCTGTCACAAAAAACAAAAAACAAAAAACAAAACCTCACCAAACAAACAAAAAAGGACTGAGAAGCCTTATCCCTTCTCACTGAAACCTCATGTTTTTCTAAAGGAGCTGATCCCTGGGGCTAATTTCTTGCCATGTGCTCACGTCGAGGGTGGACGCTGTGGCAGCACTGACCCTGGAGAGGACGCAACCTTCTTGGATGTGACAATAATGAAGAGGATGCACATTTCCTTGAGGAAGAGTGAGCAAATTATCCACCAGTTTCAGATTCTTCACTCAGTTGATGCCTGTATTTTACATCAGTGAATCTTTAGAAAGTTGGACTTTCTTACAGGCATTGAAGAAAAATGATTAAATGAATAAATGAAAGAAGAAAACTCATTTTCCAATGTTCAGATGGGTCTGTGAGTTCATCTTTAATGCATCCAGTTATCAAGTTCATGTGATTAATGGAAAAGAGAGTCAGGGTCTTATTCAAATTGGGTTGGGAAGGATCTTAACCCACACAGAAAGATTTGGGTATGTGGAGTGAGGTATACCCAGGAGGACCAATCCAGAAGGCCTCAGAGTATCTCTTCTGAGGCTCAGGTGGTCCTAGGGCTTCCTAAATGATCCTGCAGGGGCTGTGTGTGTGGCATGTGAGAGGGTATGCAGGGAGCTCAGGCCTGTCTCTGGCTGGGGTCCTCAGGGAACATTGGCTGTGATGCCCCCGTGTCCGCCCCAAAGCTGGTGGGATGGAAGATTCTGCCCGAGTCTCTGGGCCTTGGTTGTTCTTCAGGGCCTGGACATGGAGCAGGGGGAGGATCCAGGGTTTGCAGATGGAGGGCCTGGGGCTGGGGGAGACAGGAGATGGGGAGGCAGCGGGGGTGCTGCAGAGAGGAGAGGAAGCCCCAGCAGAGGGAGGAAGAGCCTGGAGACGCCACTGGGAAGGGCTAGACAAGGGCAGGGCTTCCCTCCCCAACCTCAGCTCAGCCCAGGCAGCTGTGGGACCTTATGGGTCTGTTAAAGAGGTTTACACTGGGACTTAGAGGATGAGGAAAATTTTGCCTGGGAAAGGAAATAGCATGTCTGTGTGTCCATAGAAAGACATGGAGATGGGAAGATCATGTAATTACTTTGATGTGTCTGAGGGGGGTGGGTGTTAGGGGTAGAAGTGGGGGTCGTTTCTATCACAGGGGAATCAGCTCTGATAGGACTGGCTCAGCTGACCCCAACTCTCTTATCCCTGCTTGTGGAGACTTCTGTTTCTCTGTATGAATTTAATAAATTTCTGCCTCTTGATTATCCTTCTCATCCTGGTGGGGGATGGGGGTGATACTTGAAAGGTCTGGGACTGAGAAAATACTTGTGTCAAAGCCTCAGGACCTTCCTGCCCAGGAAGGTGAGGGTGTAAGTCATCACTAAGGCACCCATTGCTCAGGAAATTTCTAAAAAGCACTTATCCAGATGAAAGGTTTGCTTTAGGACAGCATGGTTCTCACTGGCACAAAGAGGTCACTTATTTAAAAAACAATTACTAATCCAGACTCATTAGGTGCCCCTCAGCTCCCAGTGCCCACCAGCCTGAGCTGTGATATCCCAGATGTGCCCAAGTCCAGGGAGTTCCTTCTTTGAAGACCTGCCTTGAACCCCTGAACATAGATTCTCAAATCCTATGAACACACCCCTGACCTCACCTTTCTGGGATACAGCTAAGACCCTGTCTCAGTGGAATTACATAAATACTAAAGGACTCAGCCACTTCCACTTCCACCGCTTGATTCCTGGACCCATGCATCTTGGCTACAGGAGAAGAAACAGTATCGTATATTGGATGCTGATGCAGAACATACATGGCCTTCTGGAGAGCTTTACCCCAGCCTGCAAAGTATTGTCAACTAGTTGGCATTGTAATTGTGACTTCGAAAGGCCATTCCACCCTTCTATCAGTCCAGCTGCTTCAGGATGAACAGGTCTTCAGGGGAACATGGAAGACCAGTGAATTCCATGAGCATAAGCTCACTGCTGCAGTTCTTTAGCTGTAAAGTGAGTGCCTTGGTCGAGGCAATGCCATGTGGAATACCATGATGGTGGATAAGGCATTCCGTGAGCCCACAGATGGTAGTCTTGGCAGAAGCATTGCATACAGGATTGGCAAACCCATATCCAGAGTAAGTGTCTATTCCAGTGAGGACAAACCTCCGCCCTTTCCATAATGAAAGAGGTCCAATACAATCAACCTGCCACCAGGTGTCTGGCTGATCACCCTGAGGAATAGTGCCATATTGAGGGCTCAGTGTTGGTCTCTGCTGCTGGCAAATTGGGCATTCAGCAGTCGCCATAACCAGGTCAGCCTTGGTGAGTGAAAGTCCATGTTGCTGAACCCATGCATAACCTCCGTCTCTGCCATCATGGCCACTTTGTTCATGGGCTTATTGGGGATGACAGGGTGGCTGGGGAAAGAGGCTGAGTGGGATCCACAGAACAGGTCATCCTATTTACTTGATTATTAAACTTCTCCTCTGCTGAGGTCACCCAATGGTGAGCACTCACATGGGACACAAATATCTTCACAGTTTTTTATCACTCAGAGAGATCCATCCACATAGCTCTTCCCCCAGTTTCTTTGTCACCAATTTTCCAATCATGTTTCTTCCAAGTACCTGACCATCCAACCAAACCATTGGCTACACCCCATGAATCAGTATAAAATCGCACATCTGGCCATTTCTCCTTCCATGCAAAGTGCATACCCAGTGGCACGGCTCTAAGTTCTGTCCACTGGGAAGATTTTCCTTCCCCGCTATTCTTCAGGGATGTTCTAGAAAGGGGCTTTAGTGCTACAGCTGTCCACTTTCAGGTGGTGCCTGCATATCTTGTAGAACCATCTATGATCCAGGCCCTAGTCATCTCTTCCCCAGTCAACTGATCATAGGAAACTCCCCATGAGGCCATTGGTGCAGGCTGGACGAGAGAGGGCAGGGTGGCCGCAGTGGAGACCATGGGCATTTGAGCCACTTCTTCATGTAACTTTCTTGTGCCTTCAAGTCCTGCTCGAGCCTAGTGATGTATGTACCACTTCCATTTGATGACGAAATGCTGCTGTGCATGACCCACTTTATGGCTAGATGGATCAGAAAGAACCCAGTTCATGACAGGCAGTTCAGGTTCCATGGTAACTTTATGACTCATAGTCAAATGTTCAGTTTCCACCAAAGCCCAGTAACAGGCCAAGAGCTGTCTCTCAAAAGTAGAGTAGTTATCTGTAGAGGATGGCAGGGCCTTGCTCCAAAATCCTGGGGTCTTGCACTTCAATTCACTGCCAAAGGCTCTAAAAAGCATCATTATCTGCCACTGATACATCAAGCACCATTGGATCTGCTGGATCCTATTGTCCAAGTACCAGAGCAGATTGTACAGCAGCCTGGACCTGTTGCAGAGCTTTCTTCTCTTCTGGAACCCACTCAAAACTGGTAGCCTTTTGGGTCACTCAATAAATGGGCCAGAGTAACACAACCAAATGAGGAATGTGTTGCCTCTAAAATCCAAATAGGCCCACTAGGCATTGTGCCTCTTTCTTGGTTGTAGGAGGGGCCAAATGCAGCAACTTACCCTTTACCTTAGAAGGAGTATCTCAACAGGCCCCACACCACTGGACCCCTAGAAATTTTTCTGAGGTAGAAGGTCCCTGATTTTTAGTCAGATTTATTTCAAATCCTCTGGCATGCAAATGTCTCACTGATAAGTCCATTGTGTTTGTTAATTCTTGCTCACTGAATCCAATCCAATAATATCATCAGTGTAATGGACCAGTGTGCTATCTTGTAGAAGTGAAAAGTGATCAAGGTCTCTTTGAATAAGATTATGACACAAAGGGCTGGGCGTGGTGGCTCAGGCCTGTAATACCAGCACTTTGGGAGGTAGAAGCATTTGGATCACGAGGTCAAGAGATTGGGACCATCCTGGCCAACATGGTGAAACCCTGTCTCTACTAAAAATACAAAAATTAGCTGGGCGTGATGGTGCGCATGTGTAGCTCCAGCTACTAAGGAGATTGAGGCAGGAGAATAGCTTGAATCCAGCAGGCAGAGGTTGCAGTGAGCTGAGATTGTGCCACTGCACTCCAGCCTGGTGACAGAGCGAGACTCCGTTCTCAAAACAAAAAAAAAATGAAAAAATATTATGATACAAAGCTGGAGAGTTGATGTATCTCTGAGGTAGAACAGTAAAGGTATATTGCTGGCCTTGCCAGTTGAAGGCAGATTGCTTCTGGTGGGTCTTGTGGACCGGAATGGAGAAAAAGGCATTTGTCAAGTCAATGGCTGCATACCAGGTACCAGGAGATGTGTTAATTGGATCAAGCAATGAAACCACATCTGGTTCAGCAGCTGCAGTTGAAGTCACCATTTGGTTAAGCTTATGATAATCCACTGTCACTTTCCAAGATCCATCTATCTTCTGCATGGGCCAAATGGGAGAGTTGAACGGGGATGTGGTGCTGATTACCACCTCTGTGTCTTTCAAGTCCTTGATGGTGGCACTAATCTCTGCAATCCCTCCAGGGATATGATACTGTTTTTGATTTACTATTTTTTTCTAGGTAGAAGGAACTCTAATGGCTTCCATTTCCCTTTCCCACCATAATAGCCCTCACCCTGCCAGAAACGGCCTGACACCTGTTTTTGTGTGGCCCGGAGCTGACAGTGGTTTTTTATCATTTTAAATGGTTACATTGTAAATGACACTATAAGTACCTATGTAATATCCCCAAAGTTGATTCTTGGGCCACAAAG